TACACAAATTTTAATAAGTGCTCATGAATTAGAACATGAAAAATTAGAAGAGGAAATAAAACTAAACAACACACTTACGCGTGGGGCCCTAATGACCCCCACAACCCTCGAAGCACCACAACGCTTCAATTTGAGGGAGCTTAGTATCTCTATAGATATGATACTCACCGGATAAAAGAGTCTTCCCTCAATCAAAAGATATAGACAGTACACTTTATTTTAACTAAAACGAACTAAGACTTAAACTGAAAATAACTAAGTAGAAAAACAAAGGAAGATACAAGGGTTTGAAAATCTCCCCAAGCTTAACATTCTAAGCATACGAGATTCATCCCCCCCTTTTTTGTCGGTACCAGGATTTCTTCGCGGGTAAATTGGGCATGGATGAGGATCGTGGATGTAGTTTGGGTCCACAAGGACCTTCTTCCTCGAAGGCCCAATGGTGATGCGGGCCTAGATGGAGGGATTCCATTAAGCCTTGGGTTTCCCCTCTTTGTGCTCCCTTCAACAACTCATGGATAGTGCAGCCATGAAAGCCACAACTAGCTATAGTTGTTGGGGTAATCTTGACAAAGTCAAGACAATCAGCGGTACTAATAAGCTTTACCGATTTGATGGGGATCGCCTCGAGCTTCTAGTTATTTAACAATAGGCCTCTTGTTTGGTGAGCCAACCGGCTTCACCCGTGGATGAAGGTAGTAGAACAAAGAGCGCATCTTTTGTTGGCCGGAGAGGAATCATGGTCCATCTTATTAAGGCCGAACATTTAGTCGCGTTCCCTATAACAACATGGAACATATGGTCTTTTAGGTTTATCTTTCAAAGACTTTATGTTTCTTGCAATTATGTGAACTTTGCATGCATCATTTGCTCCATTTCTTGGAACTTATCATGCAATCTAAGCCACTAGAACTCAGTAGGATTTCTATCAAATCAAGCAGTCTCAGGGGTGGAAGCCAACCCCACTATTCGATCTAATCACTCTAACGATCAAGATCCAACAAGGTAGAATTGAAGAACTAAGGAAAGAAGCAATGTAATTAGTGCAAGACAAATGTAGAATGAAAGAATGACCTAAACCCTAAAAAGGTGTGTTTCTCTGTGTGGGAGGGGGGGGGGGGCATACAGAAACCGTCTCAGTTAAATTGGCATTTGAAAATACTTCCTGCTCTTTCCCTATTTCTTTCATTTGTTCTATTCCTTCTGCTTTCTTTTCCAATTAAGTTGCTCATAAACTAGATCTGTAAAACTCATTCAGCTATTGTCTTCTTTCTATAATTCGTCTTTAAGTCCGAGTCATACATAAAGTATAATCCTCTTCCTAGCTCTGCCACCTCCTTTGTAACGAGTATGCTCTACTTGAAAGAACATAATTTCAATAAATAAGTACACCCTCGGTTCCAAAATAAGTGACGTAGTTTAACTAAAACCATGACACTTATTTTAGAACGAGAGGGTGGTACATTACTATATTCACAGCTACTCCCTTTTTAAAGAAATATAAGAGCATCTCTAGTAAATCCGCTAAAATCTCGGCCCATAATCTTTTTGCAGCTCGCCTTATATTGAATTTGCAGAATTTGCAGTACCACGCGGTGTCTTCTGGAACAAATGCAGCAAACCCCTACCACAAATTTTTACGGTACGGGTTTGCGGCATCTATTCCACCAGACGCCGCGCGGTACTGCAAATCCGTACAGTAAATCATCATTTTAGGCACATATAACTCAAATAAAACAACAATAAATATTAAACTTAAATGTTTTTAACATAAAAAAGACAATAATTATCTCAAATACAACAAATGTTGAAATCCGAATAACAAATTGTTTGGAATTATTACAATAATAAATTGTTCAGAATTAAAACAATTGTTCACCTCACACATGAAAAGAATAGATCAAATTAATAAAATTGGAGTCTATTGACCATACAATTGCCATTGATGCTCAATGAGATAATTGCGGAGCTGCTGATGTTTGTCACGGTCTTCTGTCTATGGGTAGGTTTTAAGAAATGCATTGATCTCATCTGAGTTTCTAGTAGGCTTGACACGGCTATCAATATTGTCATAGAAAAGCTCTAAGTTTAAATCCCTCTCATCATCGATGATCATATTGTGTAGAATTACACATGCATTTGAGCGTGGTATCTTCTTTGATGCAAAGATACTCATCGGTGTAATCGACCAGAATGCCATATGCTATCACTCATATTGCCACCGATATTTTTTGGTATGCATTAAATCCTAGCTGACCGGCTTCTTTGGTGAGTGAAGAACCGACAATTTTGTTTGCAAGCTTCCACAATGCGAACAAAAAGAGACATACACATTCGATAACGCCAAAGGAAGAGATGATCCGGGTAGGTTGGTACCTTAGCAAAGTAGTCTCTCATGAGCAACTTGTGACCGAGAGCTTGGTTGCGTGGAATGCAAAGTCGGCTGACCGTCGAAGCGCGATGCCTCTTCTTCTTGCTGGCTTCAAATTTGTCAACAAGGTGCAACAAAAAAGGATGCTCGACATCGTCGTAAAAAATCATCTCTTCTATGTCAGAATCATCCGACTCAGATGACGAGGACGAGCTCCAAATATCATCCATCTGCGAAAAAAAATTGAAACTACATCAAAATTTGACCGCCAGCCGATTTGGACCTAAAAACCGGTGCAAAGGAGCAAATCTTACCTTTCACCATCGGAAAACGCAGCCGCCGAAGCCTCCTTCTCCCCACCACCGGTTGAAAGCACAACAGCCGAAGCCTTTCCTTCTCCACCGCAGTCGCTGCCTCCTATATTTCCCCTCGCCTAACTTGGGCCCGCGCAGACGGCGACTGCTCAATCTTGCACGGAGCAGCCGGATCCGTCCCCAACGCGGCACCAATCGAAGCTTCCACTCGGATCCATGGCGACAGCAGTTGCAGCCTACCGACGGCAAAAATGGCGGCCTCCACGCTCGAATCTTAGTGGAGAATATGCGGGCAAGGACGGTCGAAGCTATCCACGGCGCGGCCGGGATGGCTGGAGGAAGCAAGAATCGCTGGAGAATTGGGGAACGGGTGGAGGCGGTACGGCGGGCGGGCGTGGAAAGTTTCCTCCCGCCAAGACACAAGATTTGGATAGGGGAAACCGCAATGGAGGAAAGGATAACAAAAGATTTGATGGCTGGGGACAATTTTTACAACTCGCCCTAAAAAGTTCGCGGGCCGACCAATAGAAGGTACATGTTCTGGCTGGTTTTCAGTCTAGTACTGTATATCGGTGGTTATTTTACGACTGGGCGATTATAGCGGCTCTGCTAGAGATGTTATAAGACTTTTTTTTAGAAAAGAAGGATTACTCCGTTCTCTGCATCAGAATGATGCACGCAGCCTCAGATACTCTAAGACTTATTAGATCATTACTTTAATGATCTTAAAAGTCTTAATTTTTTTACAGAGAGAGTATAAACTAAGCCTAATTTCCAATGTCATATGTATCACTTTGACATCGTGGAGCTCGCTATGGACCGAACGAGAACGCTCGCGAGCTCAGGGCGTGATCATGTAGGCCTTGTCGTCTTCAATGGAGACGACGAGAAGGGCGAGAAGGATGTAGCGCCATTGTTGGAGATTGGGATTGCGACGTCAGCAGCAATTCGTGCAGGTCGCGGTGGATATGGCCGCCCGTAGCTGCTCTCCTGAGCCGCCGTTACCCGTACCGACTTCCCGGGGATTTAGGAACGAGGAGGTGGGAGCGACATCGACCGTCCACGGAAGCAAGATCGACGGCCTCCAGGACATCCGAGCAAGACCACAGATGGAGAACGTGCCCGAAGGAACTGGTCGAGCAGGCGGGGAATTCCATCCGAACAAGTCCATTTCGCACGTTCCCTGGAGCGCCGCGATTCACGGCCGGCCGCCGCCCGCCGACCGCCGCGAGGCAAGAAAAGGAAAGAATTTCCCCGGAAGAGATGGTGTACGCGCCGCCGCCCGACGGCATGGGCCTGGAGATCGACCTCGACCTGGACCCGGAGGACCTCCACCCGACGGTGCCCCTGAAGAAGGTCCCCGCGGGGGACCTCTTCGAGGCGGCGCGCGCCGGCGACTGCGACCGCCTCGCCCTCCTCCTCGAGGCCGGCGCCAACGTCAACGCGCGCGACCGCTGGGACTCCGTCGCGCTCTACTACGCCTGCCTCGCCGGCCACGCCGACGCCGCGCGGATGCTGCTCGAGGCCGGGGCCGTCTGCGCCGAGCGCACCTTCGACGGCGACCGCTGCCACTACGCCGCGCTCAACCTCGACCTCCGGAGGCTCCTCAAGTCGTTCGAGGCGCGGCCGCCCCCGCTCGCGCCGCTGCCCGCCGCGCTCCGGGCCACCTTCCTCGCGTGCCCCGCCAACCGCGCCGCGTACCTCGAGATGTTGCTCCAGGAGGGCGCCACCGCAGAAGCCGCTGCGCTAGCTGAGGCCGAAGGTCAGCAACTTCTTGGCTTGCTTGCCGCCTGGATTGCAAATGCAACTGGATTTGTGGATGCCAATCAGATTGGATGTTATATGCAAGGATTGACAATACTAGATGGTTGGATTTGGGGGTGAAAAAAAATAGTTGATTTCTGTAGTTACTGTGATTACCAATCAGACCACTTTTGCATATATAATATTCCCTCTGTAAACAAATATAAGAGCGTTTAGATTACTAAAGTAGTTATCTAAACGCTCTTATATTTCTTATATTGTATGTCACTGGAAAGATTGCACATTCGAAATGCACTGTAGGTAACCAATTCATCTAGTTATATATCAATTCAGTACAAATATATGTCTGCCTGAATTACTCGAGCCAGCACAATGTGCACTGTATTTCTCAAGAACAACAGTGGTTCAGTGCATATGTAAGATATTGTTGAGATGTGTTCCTTTGATTTTCTTTTCTGTAGTATAAAAATTTCCCATTCTGTGTAAGTGGAAAATAACAGCTTTATATTTTCACTTATTTTGTGGAAGATTACGCGACTGATAAGTTTTGTGTTAACAACTTTTGTGCAGGATTTGGGCCAACAGATGGTGCATCAACTGGCAGTCTCTTTCCCCCAGATATTACATTTTACGTGGATGGAAAACCTATTGAAGCTCATCGGATCATCCTTTGTGCTCGATCACCCTTCTTTGAACAGAAATTCGAGACAGACTGGAAAAACAGGAAGGAAGTGAGATTTTCTAATAAAAAATTATCTTTTGGTGCCTTGTACAACCTTATCCATTTCTTCTATGCCGATAGACTCGAGGCTCCAGTAGATGAAATGGAAAGTTTGTCACGCACTTGCAAAGTTTGCAAGTGTGAGGAGTTGCGTAAGTTAGTTGAGAAAGAAATTCTGCATCTTAGGTTTGCACTGTATAAGTCAACAAGTAAGTTGGGTTTGGAAAATGCACAGAGTCCGAGACGGTTCATTTTACTCGGGCAGTCATTGCCACGGGAAGATCGCCTTCCATCAGCATTGCGGCGTGTTCTTCAGAAATGTCTGGCTAATTCAAGAGAAGAAAATTTCAAAAAAACTGTAGCAAATGAGATGTGCAGAAACTGGAAGGATGATGATCTTGCTGATCTCACTGTAAAAGTAGATGATAGAGTCTTCCGTTGCCATCAGGTGATTTTGGCCTCAAGGTCGGAGTATTTTAAAACCAGACTATCTCGAACAGTGGATTTTCTTGAAGGTAACAATCGAGTGCATGCATCTCTGGGTCTCCCATTTCTTGAGGAGCATGACCTGAGTACAGAAGCATTTGAAAAGATGCTTGAATACATGTAAGATCCCTTTGCACTTTTTCTTGCTTGACCATTATTGTTATTGTTACTGCTCTTGTCTGGTTTATTCCCTGCTTGTGTTAATTTTAGGTATACTGACAATCTGGAGCATATGGATCCAGCCCAGGTAAGATATACTACAAAACATGATTCAGTTACCTATTCTTACAAAATACTGAAGTCGCTTCAGTTTGTTGCGAAACTAAACTGAAGTAAACATATCCCAGGCTGAAGAACTATTTGATGTCGCATCGAGATACCTGCTGTTTCCCCTTAGGCGCGCTGTAGCTGATTTACTGTTACCAAATCTGGAACATGTTTCACCTGCAGAGCTGTGCCATTGGTTGATCTTGTCGGACATGTATGTGCTCGTCATGCTTGATATCTTTCTGTCATCGTATTATCTGATTTGTAGCTGAGGTCAATGTTTTCTCCAAATGCAGTTATGGCGTTATGAAAATAAGGGAGTACTGCCTGGATATCATTGCCTACAATTTCGAGATGTTTGCGGACATAAGAGAGTTTAGGGCTTTGCTCTTGACACTCCCGCCGCCATCTGCAAATGATGCACTACGAACGACTCGTCCCAGCCACCCCGGGGCTGCAGGGCACACTGACCAAGGCAATATTCTCGACGACTTGCGTGAGAAATGGTTGGAAGCGGAGGCTGCTGAGCTGGACGAGAGAGATCAGAGCGCAGCGCTGTTTGACCAGCGACTGGAGATGCTCATGCTCGTTGCGGAGCGGGAAGCCTGTGATGATGACAACGCTGCCCTCCACTGAGAGCTGGAACTCTATACCTTTCTTGTGTAGCTCTTCCTTTTGTAGTCTTCGCTGGAAGGGACTGATGTGGTGTTTCTGAATTACATGTCTCCCCTTTGTTTTACAATGGATGCTTCTTACACTGGAATGAAACCTTTTTGGAGCTTCAGCATGTTTCTGACTTGTTGCACAGTATCTCAATGGTAGTAGCTGATTTATTGTTTTAGCAAAAGTAATGGCCGATGTTTAAAACAAACAGTGCTTTTTTCTGCTTTACTGATGCCATCTGGCTGTACGGGCCATCATACGGTGATGCTCTGTTACAAGATTACTTCTGTATGGAACTTGAATTACACCAGTTTTTCTATCAGATCTGATGGCTCGTCTTGATGAATCGTTCTCCTTAAGCAGAGAAGTTTACTTTTTTTTTTTGTTATTAATCTGTGCATGCAAGCCAGTTGGGAAACCTGAAAAAAATCGTGTGCCCAACTCGCATCAAATATCGACAAGGACCTCTTTGAATTGTAGGGATTTCAGAGCCCCTGGGAAAGGGCCTAAAAATGTGTGCGCATTCTTATGAGCCCACTCCTAGAGAAAATCTTGCATGAGCTTAAAACTCATCTTATTCTACTTTGAGGATGAATCTTCTATGTGCCTCCACTATATCTCATCATTTCAAAGTACCCAGGGGCACCACTAAAAAACAATTATGTGTTTTAGCATCCTGACATCTCATTATTTTCTTCTTCAATTCCTATGTTATCTAATTCTTGCCCGAGAAATACTTACTACTTCAATTTCTTTTCCATCTTGCATAATATGGTTAACCACCATGTTAGAAAATCCACTACAGAATAAAAACGGGAACAAAACAAACATAAAGGAATCTTGGAATACACAATTGACAATTCATCCTTACAACATTCGACCGATTGTTAGCAACCAACAACTTTAAGTTGGTAAACAGCTCAAGTGACCGACCTTTTGTATTGTAAGAGCAAGAGAAAAATTCAGTGAACAAATATAACCTATATTCAGCATAATCCTATACACTGGATTGTTTTATGTGCACTTAGTAAGAAAACTATACAAATACAAATACAAATAACAAATTTGCTCAGATCTATTCTGTGCGCGAGACAGGAAAGCAAAAAATGATGGGAGGGAAAGTACTATTCTAAATCATCATTCTGTAGTCACGATCTCACATCGTCCCGGTGTCTGAAATATTGTCAATTGTGGTTAAGTTGGAGTTGGACTATCAGGCAAAAACCTCAAGCAGGAGCCTCTGAAGTACTAGTATCATCAGCAGGAGCCTCTGAAGTACTAGTATCATCAGTTGGCATGTTGGATGCTCTATCAGGCAATGAATTCACCTCTTCTCCTTCTGATGGTGCTATTATCGAAGCGGAATCCTCTGAGGCGATATCGGAAGCAGCATCTGAAGCCGCATAAGATGATTCTGATTGTTCGGATGTTTCAGGCTGCTGTGGCTTCTGCAGACTCCAGTACATGATGCTAGCAGTCAATGTTAGGATCATTTTCTGATTCACCTGTACGAGAATTAGTTTAACATCATAAGATAAAGATAATTATGTATTTGACCTTTAGCAATATATAGCATGTTGTTTATTTCATAGCAATGGCCCATTACATCAATGATGTCTTCTGGTAACAGAAAAACAGAGCACCCGAGCTTCCGTGCGACACTGATGATGTAGGTTGCATTTAACTTCTTCTCATCATCTGCAACAGTAAAAGGGTATGCGCGAATGAGAACGAAGGAATTGCAAAAGATATACGGGGCATGATTTCATTCGGTTCTCATGATGCGCCAAAATAAAGCACATATAACTTTTTATTTTCTTTTTTTGCGGCAGAGACCACATATAACTTAAGTTAAAAGGTCAGCAGGTAAAAGGAAAATCAATCCATTTGCGGACGAAGAACGCACCATTTACACCCTTCGATACAACCTTCCAGTTCACAACCCTTGGCTCTACAGCACTGAGAAGCTCAAGGAAAAAAATTCCACTCGATAGGTTCTTGTCCTGAAGCAAAGAGAGAATTATGAGGGTTTGCTGGACAGATATGACAACTGAAAAGGCAGGGGCAGAGCTTTCATTGTTTAGGCAGGGGCTGAACATAGACACAAAATATATTTGTCAAATATTCTATTACACTTATTGGTCCCCTGTTAATTTTTCTGCAAGCTCAACTGCTGCTGAAAGGCAATGTGCAATCATAAAAGATCACCTTAAAACTTTCTATTCGAGAATTTCTCCCGGAAACCTTCACTTTGTTATTCGCCCAACTCAAGATATCAGCATCCATTATTTCTTTTCCTTGGGACCCTTGAGAGTGGAATCTCAGTTTGTTTAACAGCTGGAGGATATTGAATCTCATCAATTGCCATAGAAGTGCTGAAATAAGATGTGAGATGATACTTAATATGGCAACTCCATCTAGAACAGAAAATAGAAGAAGGGAGGATGGATCATTATCAATGTCCATCTGCTACTTTTTATGACAGTTAAATAGTCATCTACCACGATGCACATTTTGGTAAAATTAACTCACCAACAATCAACTTCTTGTTTCCCTGAACAATATCATTTCCAGCTAGATTCACCATGGAAAACTTCAGATCCTTTGCAATATTTATAACTTGATTACAGTTCTCCAGTTTTCTAAATGGCATTTTTATCGGAGGTTTTGTCGCTAGCTTCCAGTTGACATATCCGGGACAGACTTTGTCGAGCACTTCTAGTAGGACCCACCTGCATAGACATTTACATCACTCATATGTTCCAGATAAGCATGACATGCCTCCGTCAAAAGCTTACCCATTTCGAACATCTTCAAACACATTGTTCACGTATGTCGCAATTCCAAGGCTGTTGATCCACATTCGGAAGGCTCTCTCTTCTCGGGACAATATAACCTCATCTCGCGATGAGGTTTGTGTGAGTGCAACCTGTCTGGAGTCAGTACTCAAACCGTTTCTGCATGTAAAAAATCATTCTACTTTGGTGAACATGAAATGGCATCACAGAACCACCAAGGATATGAGAACGCGTTCAGTATGCAGACCATAATAAAAAGACAGGCTTGATAACTAAGGTTCCTACAAAGAGTAGACAAATAATTCTCACCTATGTTGGAATATTTGTGCAACAAATGCAAGGTTGAGATTTGGGGAGCCTTCAGTAATATCCTTTGGGCTCAAGTATCTTTTGCAGCCCAACTTCTCTGCTTGGTCAAGTACCACTTTCGCTCTTACGGCAGGATCCTTGGTGTCAAATGCAAGTATAGAGGAATGCTCTGGAGCGAGAGATTTGATAAGATAGGCGTAGGCTTCAGCATCCTGTACAAGCCTACCTTGTAAGATAATTGCTTGTTGAGCATCTAATAGACTAATGGAGCAGTAAATGAAGATATGTTTTTGTTGGCACCACACATGAAAAATACGTTTCTATCATGCATGAGGTATTACTGAATTTGTACAAGGAATCTAGAAGGATTGCACCATTTGCATATTACAGATTGCAGCAGACAAAGTATTCAGACTTTGCTTCCGCAACATAGTGTTTAATGACGCGTCAAAAAATAGTGTTTAATGCATGCAACACTAAGTAGTAATACATATTTGTTTCTCAGGTGGTTCCCTTGAAAGTAAGAGGACCAAACATGCAGTTACACATAAATTCTGGAAGAGACAAGCCTATTTGTTGCGTGAACCTTGATATCTGAGGAGAAGTTGGTAACAATTTTCTTGTAGCCAGCTTTCTTGAGATGATAATTCATCCATTGAAGTAGTAACTTTTCAGGTGACAAGCTCAGCACTTCATCTATATCCTGTACAATAATAAGTACAATAAAATGTTATATGTCCAACACAAATATATTATGTCAATAAACGACATTACATAATGACAAGACTAATACCTTGCTGTCATCAAAAATTTCCACCAGCTGTGGCGTCCTCTTAAGATTTAGATCAGCCAAAAGTTGTATCTATTTTACATGAAAATATATATTAAATAGTGTAATAGGACAGTTATACACATCTTTATGTAGCCTGTCTGCATCATAGTAGCATACATTGGGGATTTCAGGATTCACCTTTATAATTTGAGATATCAACCCGAGAACTAGATGAGTCTGCAATATTAAGCATAGGGTTAGTCATTACTACCCTTCTTTTAATTAGTGTACTATTTTGCACTGAAAATGATATTGATGATTATACATAAGGGGGATGCAGGTATCTATAACGTATATGTACATCCTGGTTAAATAACTAAAGACATTACAAAATGAATTCCTGGAGATGTCCATCGAAAAAAAAAGAATTCCTGGAGATGTATTCGACACCAACTTAAACTTTTGGAGACACGTGAAGAAAAAGAACATGTGCAGCACAACTAACAGCAGAGTGAACAAGAAAAATAACACTGAGATAAATGTACTCCCTCCGGTCCTTTTTACTCCGTGTATTAGATTTATATCAAGTCAAACTTTGCAAAGTTCAACCAAATTTATATTTAAAAAATATCAACATCTACAATGCCAATTATATATATAACGAAACTACATTTCATAATGAATCTAAGAATATTGATTTGTCATTGTGAATGTTGATATTTTTTCCTATAAGTTTGGCCAAAGTAGAGATACTTTGACTCCGGTATAAGCAAACCCAAAGTCATTGGTAACCGAGCATAATGCACTTTGAGACAAGATAACAATATCGGTGACAGCATATCTATATCCACACATATCATAAAAGGAAAATACTGATACCGGTTAAATCTGGTTAAGAGATCAATAGCTAGAATAAAAATGTACCGCCACAGATAAGAGATGAAGGCATACCCTTCCTTCCACCAAGTCTTGAGCTCCAAGATTCACAACAGTACATCCAATAGCCTTTGCAGAGTTGAGGCACAGTGTGTGGTTCTCATTTCTCTCCCATGGGTTAAGGATCCTTTTCTTGTTGATGGCTCTCTCATCAATAG